GTTTTGGAAAGAATTATCTTGTCAAAAACTGCTTCTGTCCCTCTCTCTCCCAACTCTCTTTGTGTAGGGATTCCCATGATAAAACTTTTTACAAGATTCTTCGTGTCTCCTACATTCTTGTCTTTTTTTTTCCAACCTTTTGATTATCTTCATTTCTGTCTGATATTTTCTATTAACCCATTTTCCAGTTGACTAATCTTCTCTTCAGCTATAAGAAATTTGTTGCTAAATATATAAGAAGCTTTAGCTATTGTATTTTCTGATTGTAGAATTTCCATTTAGTTCTCCTTTAGTAGGTTCCAGTTCTCTGGTAAAATTCTCTTGTTTTTTTTTTTTTTTTTTTGGAGGATTTATTTATTTGTGCATACATGTTTTTTTCTATGTCTGGTAACTAGTATCAGGGTAACCTATGGAACTATTTCTACTGTCTTTTTTTTTCTGGTCTTAGTTATTGGAATGTCTAGTAATGGCTGTATGAATGTTAGGTATTTTGTATAACAAATTGTAGTCTCTGGTTGATACTATTTTCTCTAGAGAGAATTCACCTTATCTTTTCTGCAAATAGCTAGTATATGAGATTACATCCACCCTTGCAAAGTAGGTTTTACCTTACAGGAGAACAAGTTGGAGTTTTTGTAAGGCCCGATTCATGTTTGTCTTCTCTCCTTATGAATACAAGTTGTTAGAAATCCAAATAAGGGCCTCTGGATATTTAGTAGGACTCTCCTTCATGAGTCTTGCATTTGAGATTGCTCAAAATTTGACATTTCTTTATAGCTACACTTTCAACTTCACAGTTTAACAATTAGCAAATCTCAAAATATGAAACTAAGTGCTCATTTTCTATACTCCCTTTTCTCATGGGTCCTGACTACCTTGGCAGCTCTGAACTCCTTTTAAGAGCTTTTTTCATTATGTTTGGGCTTCAACATCAGCACTACATATTGTAGAATCCCACATGTAAAACAATAAACTTTCACATAAGGATGATGTTCCCTCCTTCTCCTTGGAGGCATCTATGTCAATGAAGCTGCACCTTATCCTCTTAAGAGTACCCCACTGTGATTATTTTGGTATATATAAACAGTTTTGTAAACAATTGCACAAAAATGAAAGAATAAGCATTTTAGCGCCTTTACATATGTGTGTGCAGCCCTTTAGATTTTAGCTTTGTTTTACAAGAAAGAAATACAATAACATCATACTTTGATATTAATATCATGTAAAATAGTCATACTCACTAAAACTTACTAGAGCTTTACTGTAAACCGGTTCTGCAGGATATGTTTTAAACCATTCATGTTCAAGAAGAGCCTATGAAGGAGTCAAGACAATATTCGTATTTTACACTTGAGTAATCTGAGGTTTAAAGAGTTTAAGGCAATTTAATCAGGGTCCTAGAGCCAGAAAGTAAATGGCACAAGAATGTTTAAAGCCACATTTTTTTAACCCCACGATCTAGATTTTTTCCAACACCTTGTCCTGCCTTTTGATTTGCCCTCCTTCAAGATAACTAGTATATTGATTTCTGTGAGCTCTGGATTCCTGTGATACTTCCTTGAAGCAGGAGAGAAGTAAGTAGTCAGAGATTTGTGCAAATAACTCTCGATCTATTTTTCTTAGGTATTTCCAGATCTGTTCCTCCCCTACTCAGCCTTACTTTGATAGCTGTTTCACATTAAATACTGCCATTTATAAGTTCTATGGCAAATCTGAATTTTTTTTTTTCAAATAAAGCTTTATGTAAGGGCAGGAAGCAATTAGTGGTGGGGCTTTATTTTTGGAGGATGAGACTGGTGGGGGCAAGGGTATGGGAGAAGTTGCTTTCTGCAGTGTCAGATGAATGGGTTATGGGAAATGATAGCTGTGCCGGTACTTGCCTGTGAGTCAGCTCAGTCTCACTGCCGGCACCACAGCTGGGAGAGGCACCCTTCCTGGGAGGACCCTTCCTGTCCTCTGTCCAAGGCATCGAGAACTTTCCACATGCTTGCAAACTTTCAGCTACCTGTTCTGGTGGAGAAAGGATCGCACATTAGACTTCTTGTTTTAGATATTTCTAAGTTTCTTTAGAATTGAGATGTCTGACTTTCACCCTCATGCCAGCAGAAACATCCAGTGACTTTCCACCCAAAGCAGCAAGTTTGGGATTGGTGTTACAAATTAATTTAGTTCTTATGGCAACATTTTTATTTTTATGCTGCACCAACTTTGTAGGGTCTCTGTAAAAGAAACACAATGGTAAATTAGGACAGGGTGACGCTGCTTCCCAAGTGGTAGATTAAATAAAAGAGACCACCTTGGCATGAATGAAAATACGTGCAAATGACAAGAAGGCTGGGGCCAAATCATCATGGCTGCTGGGCTGCGCTGGGAGGATTGTTAGTGATTCTTTTTCACTATTTTCTTTGCTATTTCTTTGTTAAGTAATCTCAAGATATGAGATTTATCCTAACAATGGAAAAAAATTAAATAGCTATTTTAAAATAAACTTTTGTAGGGGAAAAAAAGGCCAAATAACTTGACTACCTTAGCAGATCTATTTTTCAGACACTGCCTAGATTCTTAAGATCACATTGGTAATAGTGTGACTGTTCAGTAAAAAATGAGCCGATCTCCCTGGTGGTGCAGTGGGTTAAAGCACCGCATCATGAAGCTCTCCAAAGCCACTGCAGCACAAGTTCGATCCCTAGCCAAGGAGCTGACCCACATGACATGGCAGAGCTCTCCTGACCCACCCACTGCTCCACTCAGCAGTGGATTTCAGTATATATTGAATCCTCTCACCCACCATACCTCTGGCCTGTACCCCAGTTCTGTAAACATAAATAAATAAATAAATCTTTAAAAAAGAAAAATGAGTTGAACTTGGCTCAGAATCTGTACGTGATATGCCAGGCATTCAGGTCTCTTTCACCCTGTGAAGATGGTGATACTCTTCATATACTATTTAAAAAAGAGAGAGAGAGATTGAAGAAACTTTCCCAGGTATATCTGCTAGCAAGTGTGTGGCAATCTGTCCAAGCCCAAGTCAGATCTTTGCCAAATCTGCACCTCTTTAACTTCAGCGCAAAACAGTGCTACTGCGGGTCCTGCGAACTTTCTTCTGGATTAATCCACTAAGAAAAATTGTGCAAGGGCATCTCTAGTGGCACAGGGGTTAAGTCTCAGCACTATCAGGCTATCGCCAGCCACTGTGACATGAGTTCAATCCCCAACCAGAGGGGTCCACATGGTGCAATAGACCTCCCCTGTCTTGCCTGATATTCTCCTCAGCAGTGTATTTCAGTAGATCACCTGTTCTGCTCCCTACTCTGCCTCTGCTGAATCCTCTCACCACCACCCCATATCTCTGGCCTTGTATGCATAGCTCCTACAACCTCTTGTATGCATAAATTAGTAAATCAAATATTTAAAAAAAAAACAAAAATTATATGGAAACATTATTCACTTTATTCTTTGCAAAACTAGTAACCTAAAAACTTACATATGCTTGGCTTCTGTATTAGGTCGAAAGAGAAATATATTGAGCACACTGCACAGCCTGCAAGTATGTCTGTGTGTTAGCTATTGATACAGTATGTACGAAGAAAGCACTGTAAGGATCCCAGTGGACTGGTTGGGCTCCCCCAGAATTTGAAGTGGTTCTCATGACTACCCCTAAAGTTCTTAGATATGAGACTAACAGGGAAGCTAAAAGATGTACTGTTGAGTAGAATAGCAGTATGTGGTGATTTTGATTGAGGAAGGGGTGATAATGTTGCAAAGTAGAACATTTACAGTTTCACAAAAATACCCATCCTATTGGCCCAGGGAGAAATTTAATTCTTTAAATAAAGTAATAACATTTATTAAATGTTTTGACAGCCATACTATCAATGTTTTGTTGTGGTGTTGACATATACTACACACAGATAAATGAGTAACTTGAACAAATTTCATATTTGGATACACTTGTGAAATATGTCCACTATCCCAAAATGAATTTTCATAATGCTATAATTTTAAAGAAGAAAAAAGCCCAGTCATTTAATTTCTTCATCTAATTTGATGAAAAAGAGCCTGGATGGGGACACAAGTGACATGAGTCTGGACTCTGATCTTGCTCTAAATAGCTCCATGAAATTCACTGAGGCCCTTAATTTTTCCAGCCCTTACATTTCTCATCTGAAAAATGAGGGGGTTGGACTAGATGGTCCCCAAGGCTCCCTACAGCTTTAAAGTTCAATAAAGCTAAGAGGACAGGCGTACTTAGCTTATTGGTTTGTTTCCAAATGGTTTTATGCAAAATGGAGACTTCCCTGTGGTCTGGTGTCAGCTGTGCAGCTTCATCTCTGCCCTGCTTTGTTTGATTGATTGATGGTGAAATCATTGCTTTTCATTCCCTTTCACCCTGACTCAAGGTCATTCATGATCTTTGTTCCATATTGTTCCATCTTTGTTCCTTACCAAACCTAAGGAACTCTTCTACTTATGAATTTAGGACTAAGGTTTTACTAACGCAGGGAATTTGGAAATGCCTCAAGCAGAGATGTGATGAGGGGTGACAGGTCCATCAGCTCCCCAGATAGTTGTGAGGCAGCTTGGGCATTTTATGAGTGTTAGAGATGAGCCATTCTGGATATATTTCAGGGCTGGGGGTAGGGAAGCAGATTGGAGTTTAATTAAAATTCCAATCCCAACTTTGCCCAATTCTTGCCAAGTCAGCAGCCAACATTTGTTTGTGGTTCTGGAGATTTTGCTGTGATGACATACATTACCTCAAAAACACTTGAGATTTGCCTAAAACTCGAACAAACACTCTCACCTTGTGCTGTCAAGCCTGGCACCCTGCCATCTTTTTTGCCTGTGTTCTGAGAGACACCTCCTCCACCACAGTCAGTGTTCCTGACAGAGGGGGCGGGGAGCCCTGGAGAAGCTGGTGGGGAAAATCGAGCTGGGTACAAATGAGAAAACAGTTTCACCACAGCCTAGAACACTTCCAAATGGTTTCTGTTTTCCAGGTAGCTAAGGGGAATTTCTGAGGAGGGGCTGTTCTGTTACCACCTGGGCCCATCATGAGGTTCTTCCTGCTCTGTGCCTACATGCTGCTTCTGATGATATCCCAGTTGAGGGCAGTCAGCTTCCCTGAAGATGATGAGCCCCTTAACACTGTTGACTATCACTGTAAGTAAGACAAAGAACATTCTCTTTTCCCTAAGGTAGCTCTTCAGGTTTTGATTTCCTAAGCATATTTATTTTCAAGAGAAAAGAGAGAGAGTCTTACATGCCTTCCAGTATTTTCATAATCATTTCCTAATATTTGGGGAAAAGTGGGACAGTTTTGGGTGCTTTTAGAAAGCGACTCCTAGATAAGTTATATAATTCTAGCAAAAAGGAAAAGCCCATTTGCTGACATTCTCTGACTTTTATTAATTTATATTCAAGACCTTAAGAGAGGAATTTAGTTAAAACCCTTTTACAACTAGTATATACAGCTAATCAATGCGGTATATTGATTCTTCAGCTCCATAATCCTGACTGATGGTTTAGCCCATTTTTACTTGCAGATTCAAGGCAATATCCGGTTTTTAGAGGACGCCCTTCAGGCAACGAATCACAACACAGGCTGGACTTTCAGCTGATGTTGAAAATTCGAGACACACTTTATATTGCTGGCAGGTAATTTTCCTCTCGTTGGTTTATTAGATTAAAATTCTTTTCTCTTGTGGTGCTTGCATTAATGTGTCTAGTTCATGAAAAACTAATATGTGATTGTGATCAAAAATTGCAAGGAGCCAAAAATATTCACTGAGAGGAGTCAGTGTTGTGTACCAGGAACAAAATGCAAAGCTAGAGGCTTCAGCCGTGCTGTTTTATTATTGCCATCAAGAAATCACACACCATTCTTTTTTCCTAAAGCAGCAGGGGAAAAAAAAATACCTTTCTTTACTCATTTTTAACGTGGAATTATTCAAGCAAATATTAGAAGTACATCAGTGGTAACACCAAGTAGCAGCTTGACCCATGCCTGAAGAAAAAAGCTTCCTTTGCTCCCTAACCACAATGATATATAAAAGCATCTCGCTAATGAAAAAGTACTCTCTGTAGACTTTGAGACAGAAAAAAAAGCCATATGATCTCCAAAACACAATAAAGGCAGAGCTGTAAAAATAAAATAAGAAGTAGCTTAACATTTTTATGCATTCACATGATATGACTTACTGTCTTTTTTCCAACAGGGATCAAGTTTATACAGTAAACTTAAATGAAATCCCCAAAACAGAAGTAATACCGAGCAAGGTGAGCAAGCGTGGTTGGTAAATTTATTTATATTCCCCTAGAACTTGGATAGTACCTCTGCAACTCTAAAAGTTTCCCAGTTAAAAACTGAACTTTGGTTTTGCTTGATTAACATAGAAGCTGACGTGGCGATCAAGACAACAGGATCGAGAAAATTGTGCTATGAAAGGAAAACATAAAGTAAGTAAAATAGCTAAGTTTCTGCTGGATTTAGTCTTTACGTGAGCTTGATCCCACAATGTCAGCATACAGCATAGCTCATATTTATGTAATTATTGCTTTCTTTAGGATGAATGCCACAACTTTATTAAAGTATTTGTTCCAAGAAATGATGAGATGGTTTTTGTCTGTGGCACGAATGCATTTAATCCCATGTGTAGATACTATAGGGTAAGTATGTTTTATTGCATATTTTTTTTAAAAATCCGCTTTTCTTTCTTTGTTGGTGTGCTACTTCAGTTGAATCTTTTCTGCTGTGAGCCAGTCATTTATTTTATCTCCCAATATTGTGAAGGAATAAAGATAGGTCCTTCCAGTAGAATTTTAGTACAAATAAATCAGTATTGCCTTCAAACAGGTACATTGAGTAGATGTGACACCAGCTATTTATTTTTCTTTTGTAGTTGAATACCTTAGAGTATGATGGGGAAGAAATTAGTGGCCTGGCAAGATGCCCGTTTGATGCCAGACAAACCAATGTTGCCCTTTTTGCTGGTAAGATGTTTTAGTGTAATGAATATAAATGAATAATGACATTGAAGGTGCAAAAGGAATTTAAGGGAAAAGAATATTTCAGAAGGAGGATGATTATCTTGGTATTAGTATTTCAGAAATTGAAAACCATGAACGAATTTCCAGAAAAGAAGGATTGCAAGGGAGCATATTATGAGTACCCTGAACTTAGTTCTGTTGTTAACTGGGCCAGTGACCTCAATAAGTCGCTTAACTTTTTGATGTTTAGATCTGTGTCAGTCAAATTAGGTAGCACTATGCCAACCTGTCACAGTTGATTCTGAGCATCAGGTTTGGGTTTATTTGTATCTCTAGTGATTGCATAGGTGAAAGCATGCCAAAGGGTGGAACACTACACAAAGTTAGACACAATAGGATAATTATGTGTTTGTTTGTTTGTTTGTCTTTTACCCAAATAATCACTTTGCTTTCAGATGGGAAGCTGTACTCCGCCACAGTGGCTGACTTCCTAGCCAGCGATGCTGTTATTTATCGAAGCATGGGTGATGGATCTGCCCTTCGAACAATAAAATATGATTCCAAATGGATAAAAGGTACCTTTGAAGAGCGATGCTGTGGGATTTCCGAGGGCAGGAGAATAGCTGGGTGAGAACAGGAGATTCGGGAAGGTCAGCGCATGCCTGACACTGCTTCCTTAGAGCCACTGCAGACTGCTCTGATTGTAAACGCGAACACTGATGGGCAACGGAGCGACACATCAGGAGTCCTGTCAGGAAAGTAGATTCTTCCAGGGCTTATCCATGGGATCCTCGAAAAAGAGCGATGTTATTTCTCTATGCCAATTTGCCTAACTCTAAATGTACATAACACTCCTTGCCCACCCCCATCTACCTGTCCTGAAAAATTAATGGTGAGAATCGATTGATTCATATCTGCAGTCATTTTGTTCTTTGGCATCTGGAAATCAAGACTTTTTTATTCTCAACATAAGAGGTTTTCCTTTCTAGTTAAATAGGTTAATGAATAAATGTGTTGAAACAAAGACCTTTGCTGTAGTTCAGTTCCCTGCAGGCCTTTTTACAGCCCATTAGCTGACATTAAAGACTCTGGGTTCCCTGAAGCTGCAACACACCCATATCAGGACTCCTCAGACACTTGGCACATTGGAGTTCTCACTGGCTTGAATGTAGCTGTGACATCTGTCAGTTGTGCCTAGCAGCCGGGCTCTTGTGCTAATTGAGTTATCCTTTAGGAACCAGTTTGTTTTCACTTTTCTTTCAGAACCACACTTTCTTCATGCCATAGAGTATGGCAACTATGTCTATTTCTTCTTTCGAGAAATTGCTGTGGAACATAATAATTTGGGCAAGGCAAGTATATGTTTTACTTCTCTGGTGGACTTGTTCTGCATGGAATGGCGCCTACTTCGGTAGAGTTATGGTCTCTGTCTGTTTTCCAGTACTCTGTTTGGTGCGTTTAAAGCCAAGTGCAGGGAGGTGAGTTGCTTATCATGAGAATAATTGCTGGAAAACTCTGAACAATGGCCAGAGTGGGAACAGCAGCCTTGGGCCTTAAGAAGGTCTCATTTTTTTTCTGTCACTACAGAGTGTGTTCTACAGGCACCCTTGAGCTATGGCGCTTTCTTTAACTCTTTAGAAATCCATTAATAGTTTATTCTCTCCCAGTGTTAAAGGCAGGGTAGAAAGTAAGGGCACTGTTCAGTCTTGAGTGCTCCCATGAAAGCCCATAGGAGTTTAAAATACTGCAACCCCTTCTCTGCTAAGTTGAAGGATGGCAAATTTCATTAACAATTTGAGAAACGAAGTGGAGACAGAAGTACAGGGTCGGTTTCTATTGAGCAAAGCCGTTCAGTAGCTCACTTCTTGGAAAGCTTGCTTGGCAGAACAGGAAAATGGCCCTTCGTTAGGCAGGTAAATCTAGTTTGCATTCTCACTCTACAGCCCCCTAGAGAGACCTGCTCCATTCTTTTGAAGGAGACATATCTTTAGCATTTTTTAGCCCTCCCTTAAATAGCAGCTTTTTGTTTCCATTCCTCCTCTATTCCTAAGCCTGGTGCTTGCTTTTGTGCCTCTGCAGGCTGTATATTCCCGAGTTGCCCGCATATGTAAAAACGACATGGGGGGCTCCCAGCGGGTCTTGGAGAAACACTGGACTTCCTTTCTGAAGGCACGGCTGAACTGTTCTGTCCCTGGAGACTCCTTTTTCTACTTTGATGTGCTGCAATCCATCACGGACATAATTCAAATCAATGGCATCCCCACTGTGGTTGGGGTGTTTACCACACAGCTCAACAGGTGAGAGCAGAGCCCTGGACTCTTGCTTGCTTGCTAGCTTGGGTGGGAACCCAAAGCAGCCCTCTTCCGCCTGATACTTTCCTGATGGCTTTCTGGCTTTCTCCTTTTTCAGCATTCCCGGTTCTGCTGTCTGTGCATTTAGCATGGATGACATTGAAAAAGTATTCAAAGGACGGTTTAAAGAACAGAAAACTCCAGATTCAGTTTGGACAGCTGTCCCCGAAGACAAAGTACCAAAGCCAAGGTAAAGAACAAAGAGGAGAAGTGTTTTTGTTTTCAGCCAGACCCTCTGGTCACTGCAAGCCTCCATCCTCAGCCTGGCGACCTCCAGCAGGAAGGGTTCCCGTGATGCGTGGGAGGCAGTGGACACTGCCCAGGATGTTGAGTGTGGAGAAGCAGCTGCGCTCAGGGAAATGGCAACACTCTTCTGGTTTTGCTCACTCTCTTGTCTCTCTTGACGCCTTCTTTCGGCATGGACACTTATTCCTCAGATAGAATTTGTGAGGGGGCAAAAAACAACAACACCATGTTTTCCTTTTAGGCCTGGCTGTTGTGCTAAGCACGGCCTTGCGGAAGCTTATAAAACTTCCATCGAGTTCCCGGATGAAACCCTATCGTTCATCAAATCCCACCCGCTGATGGACTCCGCCGTCCCGCCCATTGCTGATGAGCCCTGGTTCACGAAGACTCGGATCAGGTAAAAGTGTGCATTAGACACCCCCAGCCCAGTCTCACGCTGCGGCCCCACCTCTGACTCGCCCGCCTCCTCCTGTAGGTACAGACTGACGGCCATCGCCGTGGACCATTCTGCCGGACCCCACCAGAACTACACAGTCATCTTTGTTGGCTCAGAAGCTGGTGTGGTACTTAAAGTTTTGGCAAAGACCAGCCCCTTCTCTTTGAATGACAGCGTGTTACTGGAGGAGATTGAAGCCTACAACTATGCAAAGTAGGTGTAGTTTACAGAAGGCTCTTGGGTGATGCTCAAAAATTTCCCACGTGTAGCTCACCTAGTCATTTCCTTTCAGCTCTCTAAATTAGCAGTGTTTGGAATATCAGTGTTTGGGGGTTTTAGCCTGCTCACTGAAATGAATCCTGGGATTCTGCCGGGACGAGGAGGGTGGGTAGTAGATGAGTTTAAAAATAATTCACGTGGCCCTCCCTGGTGGCGCAGCGGGTTAAAGCACAGCACTGAGAATCTGAAGCCACTTCCGCATGAGTTCGATTCCCGCCTGCTCCGGAGGTGACCACATGGTGTGGCAGACCTCTCCTGGCCCGCCCGCTGCTTCCCTCAGCAGTGTACTTCATTGATCTGCCTGTTCTGCTCCCCACTCTGTCTCTGGTGAAGCCTCTCACCGCCCCTGAGCCTCTGGCCTGTACCCCAGTTCTGTATGAATAAATAAATAAATCTTTAAACAAACAAAAAAAAAATTCACGCTTGATTTTTCACCTGTAAAAAATGAGAACATTTTAGCACTGCTCCCCTTACCTTGCAGATATATTTCAAGATGCTACATGCATCAGACAGCTGGTTGTAAACACACACACACAGAATCTGCCCTTCTAGTTAAGCATTTTCTTCCAACTACTGATACAAAAGATCATTTGAGTCATTAAAAACAAACAAACAAACAAGGAAATAGGTGAGAAAAATGGAACAAAGGAGACCAAGGAGAGATTGAGAAACATCCCTCACAAGAAGATTTAAATGCATTTAATCGTGACCCTTTTTTTTTTTCCTATAATCTAACACGGTCTACACAAATGCAGTTCCCTCCAGTGATCAGAATGAAAACCCAATTTCACAAAACCCTTTGTCCAGGCTGACATTTAACCAACCATGCAAAGCAGAGGAAGAAACACAAAATTATTACTTTTTTAACTCCTGTACTTGCTTGCTTAGCTATGGAGAGTATTCCTTCAGACCTACCCAGTTCCCCAATAATTGCAAAACCAGACCCCACTTGCTTTGTATAGTTTGTGTAGCTTTGGGCTTACTAAATGAATGGCTTTAAAATGTACCCCACAATATAGGTGTAATGCTGAGAATGAGGAGGACAGAAAGGTCATCTCATTGCAGTTGGATAAAGATCATCACGCTCTGTATGTGGCATTCTCTAGCTGTGTAATTCGAATCCCCCTCAGTCGCTGTGAGCATTACGGAGCCTGTAAAAAGTAAGCTGATATTGCTTTATTTACTCAGGTCCCAGATCATCAAGACCTGTGAGGATGAGAGAAATCCAAGTGACATTCTGTTTTGTCTTCTATAGGTCTTGTATTGCATCTCGGGACCCGTACTGTGGCTGGTTAAGCCAGGGGGCCTGTGGGAGAGTGTCTCCAGGGATGCTGTAAGTACACTTTGTCACATCAGCCAAGATCTCCAGATCTGTGTCTGTCTTCCCCAAGGTCTCTACAACTAGAAATTTTAGGAAGCTTTCAACAACAATACTTTTTCTCGTCTTCTATATATTCATTATTTGGCTTGGGAGAAATAAAAAAAGAAAAGAAAAGAAACTGCATCTGTGAGGAGGAAGGAGGATTGTAGAAGTACGGTACCTAAGGGAAATAAAAATACAGCTTTTGTCTGCTCTCTTAAACAGTCCAGTTTCCAAATATTTGACAGACATGCTCCTTTTAGCAAGTTATGTTGAAATCTTTACTTTTTCTCTGCTCATTCTTACTAATCAGTCTGTGTTCTTGATTCTGCTCTGGTTGTCACTTGTGTTCCTATGAAGGTTGTTAACTGAAGACTTCTTTGCTTTCCATAACCACAGTGCTGGAGGATACGAACAAGACACAGAATACGGCGACACGGCCCATCTAGGGGACTGCCATGGTAAGACTGAATCTTCCTTTCCTGGCATTGCTTTTTGACGACATCTGCACGTGAACATTATTTTACAAACAGCCTTTTAATGACTCAGGACACATACCACCTAGCATTTAACTTAAACTTCGCAAAAGCCGAGCTGTTTGGTCATGGGGATACATTAGAGGTGAATCTTACTTTTTTTTTTTTTTTTTAACTTCGCCATTGACGATTTTGTAGGAAATCTAGAGAAAGGTAGTCTTAACCAGTAGGTTAATCTTTTCCATTATAGCCTTTTCTTTTGACTTTTTTAGTTAATTGGAATTCATAAATTTTTGCTTTCTTTTGGTTACTTTTTACTGATTACTTGTTCCTTTAATTCTTTTAGAAATTTTGCCTACTTCAACTACACCAGATTACAAAATATTTGGCGGTCCAACATCTGGTTAGTTTTTTTTCATTTTTTTGAATTAACAACCTTTTCTTTCCTTCAGTTCAGCATTTTCTGCCCCTTCTCCCCCCGTTTTGCGCAGTTTGGCAGCCCTTCATTTTTCTGCTTTGACTCATAACCCCACTGATGGAACCGAAAGACTTTTTCTTCCTCAGCACTTCACCCCTGTGTAGCATGTTGACAGTCCATCATTGACCAAGGCACATCCCTTCCTATAAGAGAAATCAAGTGGATTAACATAGACTGCATTCCAGCTGCACGCACGTCACCCAGGCTTTCTCTCTCACCCTTTGCATCATGAATGTTCCCTCTGGCCATCTTTAGTCAGTGGATGGCAGAAATTCATTATTTTCCCCTTCTCTCCTCACCCCTCCTAAGACTTAGTAAACAAATACACATTTGCCCAAAATGTGTATTTATACATTTTAGAGACCTTTTTATGAATGGTTGGTGGTTCTCCTGGGAATCTGAATGTTGTGGTTTCTGATGTACTCAGGTGTTTAGTGGCCTCTCCACACCTGTCTGTCTGTATCTGTTTTGGAGTCATTAACTGTGATGGTTGCACCAGTTTGAATTGGGGCCTTTGAAGTTTTAGCCTAAAAGCATATGCTTACTTGTTGAGGGAAAAATCTAGTTGGCAGAAACCAGTAATAGACACTCTTAAGAGTTTAAGTTACTTCCAGTCGTATGGCTGCTTCTAAAACTCACCAACAGTTTTATTTCTCAGGGAGTTGGGGGGAGAAAAGGATGGCAGTGCTTCTGTATATGAACATACTCACCCAGCTTGTAAATGCCATTCTTTTGCATGAGTTGCTACTAACTCTTTGGAAGAAACTCCCTGGACACTTTGGAAGGCACAGGAATGGTTCAGTGCTTTCCCATAGACAGTGAGCCCTTGGAACAGTGAATAATCTACAGATGGAAGGGAGGTCCTCATTTGAGCAGGACAACCTCTTAGGCAGAGATGATTTATTAGGTCCAAAATCAAATGTGCAAAGACTTAACCAGGTGTTTCCCCAGGAAGAGGCACTTAGCTTCCCCAATGTACAATCTTAACTTCCTGTGAAAGTGCCTTTAAAGGAATGAAATGATGCCAGACAAAAGAATGAGAAAACAGCAGTTCAGCTTTGGGATTTATATTATAAGGTCCACAAGAGGTGTTAGTCGCCACTGGGGCTTCCGTAGGACTGTTTAAATGTCTTTAATGCTGAAACCTGCCTAACCTGTCTTAGTGTTAATTTTTAGTTTTTACCTTTCCCTTGCAAGAGAGAGATTTGATGTGGTCTTCTCAGATGTGTTTTTGTGAAATCCTAGAACAGGCTTTCTCATGAAATTTACTTAAACTTTACTTAAAAATGCAAGAGACCAGTCAGAAAAATCTGCCGACACTACCCACGTTAATAAAAATCTGTTTGCCACCACAGACATGGAGGTATCTTCGTCTTCTGTTACCACAATGGCAAGTATCCCAGAAATCACCCCTAAAGTGATTGATACCTGGAGACCTAAACTGACGAGCTCCCGGAAATTTATAGTTCAAGATGACCCAATCACTTCTGATTTTACTGATCCTTTATCAGGTATCCCAAAGGGTAAGGCCTCACCAGGGAACTCATCTCTCACTGAGTGGAAACCTGATTCCTAATATCTCTGAAGAGCTGTGCAGGAGAGTTCTGCAGAAGGGAGTCGAAGCAGACCTACTGCTGTCCCCGCCACGACATTGGTCGCAGTCACCCCAGCTTTCTGTGGTTACACTGGAGTGCATTCCTTCAAAGATGAAAGAGGTGGAAAGCTGTTAAAGGAAGGGTTGGTGAAACAGCCACTCAGACAATCTAATCTGTGCTGGTTTCTGTCTGAAGAACCTGAGAGTCTGCTGGATAACAGCGCTTTCTGAGGGTCACCACAGCAACATCAAAAACCCAAAACTCATTAATTGCAAAAATCCTGATATCAGCTGTTTTATCTCAAATCTTTTCCCAGCCTATTGTTTTGTTGCAATTCAAAATGTAATGTGAAAAGGATATGTGAGGTGCTTGAATGCCACCAAGCAATAAAATGCAGCAGAATGCTTGCCCATAACTACCATTTTCAGCCGCTAATGGGAGCAGTTATAAAATAGCTGCCTGTTGAATTAGCTTATTAGATATATTACTCTGGAAATAATCTGTTCTTTAGCACTTACCAAACTATGGTATCAGGTTTCCAGTCAGTTGTATGGCATTGCATTGTCATTTATGATTTACATCTGTTGATTTTGCTTTTATATGTTTTCACTGTAAACAGGTTTATAATCCTGGTTTTTGCTTGGTTTTCTTTAGTGATACCATTTCTTTCATCTTGTCCTTCTCTGACTTTCACAGCACCACTGAATTCCATTATCCTGAACACTAATTAAAAACAACTAATGTACAAAAGCATCAGGACTAACCTTTAGCAACACAATTTCCCAAACCACTCTGACTTACCTTACTCTGGGATAGCTGTATTTGTAGCATGTAACAGACTTGGATACCTCTTGAACTAACATTTCTTTGATTGACTGTTAGATGTCTGTGGTTGCATTAAAAATCCCAATATGACCAACTAATGAACTCTTTTTCTTCTAGTCTAATTTAAGTATCTCTTAAATATACATCAAGATATCGTAGTGTTATTACTTAACTAATGTGTAGTACTATACTACTCCTTTCTTAGGCTATCTGGATTTCTTTCATAGCAGGCAATTCAAGAGTACTTCACCCTAAGGTGGAATGGAAAAAAAAAAAAAAAACTCAAAGCAAACATGAAAGCCCATAACTGTGACTAACAGTGACCACGCCGACACTTTGGTCTATGAACAGATTATGTTTTTATTATACTTAAGATAGTATCATTATGTTAGCATAATTCTTTTGACATAATATATATCTATGCCAGTTCACACACTCAGTTCTTTAATCATGATTAGTGAATAAAGAAAAAAGCATGAGACATTCTATGACTTTAAAATTGGCCATTTAGAAAATACATACTTTCTAACTTTGATTTTTGGGTAGAAACGCTTAAGATGGCTAATGTTGCATAACAACTCTTTGAGAGGACTTGAGGGGAAGACCAGTTCTGATCAGTGGGAGTTTCCAATTTTCCTGGCATTTGCAGCAATCAGATGTGTCTAGAGATCCTGTTGTGATTAAGGGGAAAAACACAAACACGTGCACATACGGAACTTTAGAGTCTGCTTGACCCTTCAAGATAAGCATATGGACCTTGTGAAGGTAGTGTTGCCTCAGTGGAAGCCATTCTAGTTATACTGGTTGCAAGAAGTGCTTCACTCAGACTCTTGCTGTGTGTCTATTGCAGGTGTCCGATGGGAAGTTCAGTCTGGAGAGTCCAACCAGATGGTCCATATGAATGTCCTCATCACCTGTGTCTTTGCTGCTTTTGTTTTGGGTGCATTCATTGCAGGGGTGGCAGTATACTGCTATCGTGACATGTTTGTTCGGAAAAACAGAAAGATTCACAAAGATGCAGAATCTGCCCAGTCGTGCACTGACTCCAGTGGAAGTTTTGCCAAACTGAATGGTCTCTTTGACAGCCCGGTCAAGGAATATCAACAGAATATTGATTCTCCCAAATTGTATAGCAACCTGCTGACCAGTCGGAAAGAGGTGCCAGCCAACGGGGATACTAAATCCATGGTGATGGACCATCGAGGCCAACCTCCCGAGCTGGCAGCCCTCCCCACGCCTGAGTCTACACCTGTGCTTCACCAGAAGACCCTACAGGCCATGAAGAGCCATGCAGAGAAGGCCCACAGCCATGGGGCGTCAAGGAAAGAAACTCCTCAGTTCTTCCCATCTAGTCCTCCACCCCACTCCCCTTTAAGTCACGGACATATCCCCAGTGCCATTGTTCTTCCTAATGCGACCCATGATTACAACACATCTTTCTCAAACTCCAATGCTCACAAAGCTGAAAAGAAGCTTCAAAACATTGACCACCCTCTTACAAAGTCATCCAGTAAAAGAGATCACCGGCGTTCTGTGGATTCCAGGAACACCCTCAATGATCTGCTGAAACACCTAAATGACCCAAATAGCAACCCCAAGGCCATCATGGGAGACATCCAAATGGCCCACCCGACCCTAATGCTGGATCCTGTGGGACCTCTGTCTGAGGTCCCACCCAAGGTCCCCAACCGGGAGGCATCACTATACTCTCCTCCTTCCACTCTCCCCAGAAATAGCCCAACCAAGCGAGTGGACGTCCCCACCACTCCTGGAGTCCCAATGACTTCTCTGGAAAGACAAAGGGGTTATCACAAAAATTCCTCCCAGAGGCACTCTATATCTGCAATGCCTAAAAACTTAAATTCACCGAATGGTGTTTTGTTATCTAGACAGCCTAGTATGAACCGTGGCGGGTACATGCCCACCCCCACAGGGGCGAAGGTGGACTATATTCAGGGGACACCAGTGAGTGTTCATCTGCAGCCCTCCCTCTCCAGACAGAGCAGCTACACCAGTAACGGCACCCTTCCCAGGACGGGACTAAAGAGGACACCGTCCTTAAAACCAGATGTGCCACCAAAGCCTTCATTTGTTCCTCAAACCACTTCTGTCAGACCACTGAACAAATACACTTACTAGGCCTCCAGTGTGCTATCCCCGTGTGGCTTTATTCTGTCCATGTCCTGAGAGGATGCTGTTGTAATGGTACCCTAAGACAAGAGACTCGCTTGTATTTTAAAGAGAGCCAAGTGGCCAAAGAAACGTCTAACTTTGGCAACATCACAACTTGCCACATGTAGCTACTGCAACAAGGCTTCTGTGTACTTGTCTGAAAACAAAGGAAGGTGCTGGTCATTCCATTTCTTTTGTTTGAAGCTAAAGAGATGTATAGCTCTGAGGGGCCATCTTAACGGTATAAAGAGCTGATAGAGTACTCAGAAGAATCTGTGAGCAAATACTTGAAAATGGGTTCAACTTAGACTGCCATTACGTGTGGTCTTCCCATTCAATGTGAACATTTTCTTATGTATGCATTCACCTTGCCTCTTGCACAAATGTCAAAAACAATGGTAATATCTCAAAGAAAAGAACTTGTAGATTACCAAACAATTTGCGAAAAATTCAGTCTTCGACCCAAGTTGTAGCATTTTTTTCATGCGTGGCACTTTTTTCATGCCACCAATGAACTGTGTTGCGTGTGTGTGGGTGTGTGCCTCTGTGTGCGTGTGGATGTGTCTGTGTGTTCTGTACCCACTAGGAGTTGTGTAGGTGCCCACCACATCTTTTCGTGCTATGGAGTTGTTTACATTGAGCATGACTGAACGAAAGACAATAACTTCTTCCCACAGCAGTCCATTGGGTCCAGCTTTCAGAAGGAAGTAAAATCGAGGCCAATTTGACCATGGTGCCCAATGCTAGAATGTAAGGGTTTCTAGATAATTCTGTGCTGCTATTCATTAAAACTTCTATTACAGTCTTGCCAGCTAAAGGCGATAGAGATATTAAGAGGTATCCTTGATTTATCCACCAGTATTCAGTAGTGAAACTTATCTGTCCACTGTGAATCCAAGCCCAAGTCATTCTATATCACCTTGGATACTGATACGGTTTTATTTGGATTGTTTGGTTTTTTTCCTATGGAGTAATATTTGGCTTCCTTTAACAACCCCTATCCCCAAGATCAAAACAAAACAGAAGACAAAAGAAGGGAGTGTGAAGGCATTGTAATTGGCTTAACAGGAACAGTCTATGAAAACCTACGAGAGGTGCAATCATGTTGTCTATGTTGTGTTATGTGAGAATTTTCTCCTAAGTCATGCAGGTAATGACAATATACTGTAAATATTACATGTGAGTTTACCTGAATCTGTGCATTTTGTGCCTTATTCATGAGAATGATAGAAGTTCTAAAATACGTCACGTGTTTCCAGTATAGCACATCATATACTGAGTGCCAGTTGTAAATGTTTTTCAACCAGCACCTGAAAGGACTTTTTCAAACATTATAAAACCACCTAGAACAATTAATCGTCAAACAATCCACCCAAATAGCAGCATTCTATCCTTTGCCATGATAAACATTCCATTCCTGCTTTCCAGAGGATGACACAGTGATAATGTGAAGTCAAATGAGGTTTTCCGGGTAATGTGAACCCGGGGAAACCATCTAGCATCAGTTACACATAGTTCTGCAGAAGCCACTCACAGTTGATGATGCGCAGCCCGATGTCTGTCTCAGTTAATGTGCTGAACACCACACCACGGTTTATCGAACCTAATCTAGAAAGTACCAAGGCAGAGGAATGCTGCTGACTTAGTCAGACCAGTAAGTTCAGCTGATGTCTTGCGATAACCCTGATGACATGATCCCTTGGGGGCCGATGGGTGGCAGAGACCAGAGCATTTTTATACAGAATGTAGAATACTGAGACAGCTATTCTTTTTCTTTGAGAATATTGTTTTATAAAGAACATGATTCCCTGATGTCTGCAAGCTCAAAAGCTAAAACTTCTGTTCTTGAAGCACTTCAGCTTTGCAACTAAAATATTACAGATTAATAATAAATTAAACCAACCAACGATAAACACTACTCAGTCCACCGCCGACAAAGCGTGTTTGAATTCACCTTACCAATATTAATCCCGGCGCGGAAAACGGAACAGTAACTCTATGTGATCCCGGATAACATCTTGTAACATTGTGCTGCCTTGTAGTTTGTAATGTGAGTTCTATCAGTATTTATGTTGAAATTTCTAACATAAAATCTAGTCTATCCTGTTAATTTAAATTTTAAATGCTTTATCCATTTGTGCAAAGGTAAACACAGATTGTATCTTTTTTAATGGTACGGCATAAAAAGTAACCCTAAAGTGAAGTGGCTCTATACTGTTTTATAGAGTACTTTAACATGTATAGATATCTTGTAAACTTGTATTGTGGATGTGTAAATAATATGTACTTTGGGTTTTTAACACCGCATGTAAAGTCAAAATAAAATATACAAATCATTATATCCTGCCTCTTGATATTGAAGAGGTTTATAACATCCCTTCTTTAAAAAAAAAAAAAGTCTCCATTCTTGTGCTCGGTGAAATAAGTCAGAAGGAAAAAGAAAAATATAGATTGGTTTCACTTATAGGAGGAATTTAAGAGGGCCAGATTGGGGGGGGGGTGGTACGGGGAGTGTATTGTTGTTACAACACAAAACACAACAAAACAAAAACCAGAGAGATCCTACTTGGGAGGGGGACAGAGGGATCAGAAGGAGGGAGGAACGAGGAACGTGGGGGGACTATGGTGATGATAGGGGGGAGGTAAACATTGTAAAAAGAACAATAATGTAAATAGAATATAAAATACAATAAAAAGATGAGCTCCATGCACTGACCTAAAATGTCACACACACACACACACACACACACACACAAAACCTCCAATCAAAAAGAAACAGTGTGTTTCTTTTAAAAACCACTCAAATATTCTGATGTGGAATATTTGCTACCTGATCATGATGATGGGGCCTTTTTTCCTCAGAGGCTAATCCTGATGGGCAGAGCCCCTGTAAAAAACTAGGAAACTTTCCAGAAAGTCAGATGAACTGTGCTCCATCAGTAGTCAAGCCTCAGGCAAACAACCAGCGATTCCCATTGTCCATGTATCTAGCTCAACAGAAGTTTTAAAATTCGTGATTTGTATTCCTATGAGAGACTTGTAATGTCTCTTGATTCCAAGGTTGCAACTGGCCAGCTCTGTTCCTGGGAACACTTCTTGCTATTTGACATAAGGCATTTCTCAATTCCACTGTTATTTTTTTTTTTAACTTTATTTATTGAGGCAATGTTGGTTTACAACTTCTCAGCCCCACTGGCCAACATGCCACCATCATCTGCTGGGCCCCTCCTCTCTTCCACCCTCCCCGTCTCCTTCCTGGTAATCTTGTGTGGACTCTACCACCTGGGGCCTCTGCATCTGAGTGCCATGGCCTCTTTCTGTACCTATGTGTGTAAACGATTTGGATAAGGCACAAGGCACTCCCGCATGACTGCCCTGAGACAATGACCACCACCACATCACGAGGTGGCCTGGGATGCCTAGGTAACCTTTGACTGATTGTGTGGTCAGGGTCCAAGACAGTCTGGGAATAGCTTGGAAATTACACCAAGCATCTGCATGGGAAGTTCTCCATGTATACGTGGCCAACATGTCCTCCCCTTTTCCCTATATAATGGATACCCTTTGATCCCTTTAAAGTCCTGTTCCCCATAAAATGATACCCTTTGTTTCCTCTGGGCCCCCTTTCTCCTGCATTGTCACAATCAATCATGCTTGTTCACTATTAATAAATAGCAAGAGGGCTGTTCAATGGACACCAGCATCTTCCCTTGCTCCACGGCTTGTCTCTCAGGGGTGTCCCGGGAATGTGCCAGCACTTCAGTTCTGCAGTCACATTTCTAGGCTTTGTTTTGCTTTAGCATTGTTCTTTTGCTTTGGCTTATTATATTCCACATGAGAGAGCTCAAGATCACCTGCGTTTGATTTTCTCCTTCTGATTTGTCTTGCTTAGCAAAATTCCCTCCAGCTGCATCCATGTTGTCTGCAATGACAAGATCTCAACTTCTATGGCAGCCGAGCAGTGGATAGACACATCTTTAGCCACTCACCTGACTGGGCACTTAGGTCATTTTCCAAGATTGCTATTGTAAATAGTGCTTCCAGTTCTTGTTTTTGCTTTCTTATGGAAAGAGTCCTGTGAGTGGCCAATGCCATTCATTTATGACAGTTGAACACAAAATATTAAGAGCTGTCTGCCCCAGATACTGAAAAGAAATGATTCCATCCGATTTTCTCTCACATAGAATGATCCATTGACTGCTCTCATTGCCTCTTGAAGATGGTGAGGTGTTATGCCACTTTGGAGCGAGAGGTTAGGAGTGTTTGCAGGGGTCCTGTGCTCTTGGGCATAGCTGCAACCCTCCTGGCTGAAGCTCACCCACATCTGTACAGCAGCTGTGTTTTCTCAGAGAGTTCCCCAGCATCTCCGTGGAGCCACAACACGCCCCATCTTACTGTTGGTCTTGTTCTCTTCCACAGTGACCACTCTAGGGATTCTGCACTCTAGTGTCCTTCAGTGGCATCAGGGGTTCTTTGTATATATATATATATATATATATATATATAATTTATGCAGATAGATTTTATATCTTTGTTCACTTTTTGTACAATCTGCTTTCCCAGGTGGAGTCCCTGTGAAATTCCCACCACCGATCACCCGTGCACCATCACCAAAGCCCCTCATGCTCTTCCCTCCCCTGTTCTGATACCTCTCCCCACCCCCTCCATGAAAAATGTTTTTGATCTACACAATTACCTGTTAATTTTGGTTTATTATTAAAATTAATAATATTATTATTTTCCTGATTCCTTCATTGGTTCCCCTATATTTCTCCTCTAAGTGAAACCGTCCAATATTTTTCTTTTTCCTTTTGGCTTATTCACTGAGCAAAATCCCTTCTAGCTCCATCCATGTTGTTGTGAATAGCATGGAGACACGTCCCCCAAAGCAAAGAAAGTGAAGGAAAAGATAAACAGCTAGGATAACATCAAACTGAAATCTTCTCTACAGCAAAAGAGATACTAACCAAAAAAATAGAGACACCCTACTGATCGGGTTCTTTTTATTATTATCCTGGCATCCTCTAGTCTACCCGGTTTACAACTTCCAATACACCAGCTGTGTAGGCAGCAAAACTGCTACCATCAAGGATCCTGACTTTGGCATTCTGAACCCCACCTGCAGCTGCAGGAAGCCTCTGGAAGATGGTACTCCCCTGCTGTGCTAGAGAAGAGGGTGGAAGGGCGGTCTCACTGACATGCAGAAGGTCACCTGAAACTCTTAGAATTTGGAGAAATGAAGGAAGTAAAAGCAATTAAGGGAAATGTATCTTCAACTTTGTTTCTTCTTGGGCATCTTGAGCATAACAGTTTCTTTTAAAAAATATTTATTTATGTGGCCCTCCCTGGTGGCGCAGCGGGTTAAAGCGCAGCACTGAGAATCTGAAGCCACTTCTGCATGAGTTCGATTCCCGCCTGCCGCCTGCCCCGGAGGAGACCACATGGCGAGCCAGACCTCTCCTGACCCGCCCGCTGCTCCCCTCAGCAGTGTACTTCGTCGATCTGCCTGTTCTGCTCCCCACTCTGTCTCTGGTGAAGCCTCTCACCGCCCCTGAGCCTCTGGCCTGTACCCCAGTTCTGTATGAATAAATAAATAAATCTTTAAAAAAAAAATATTTATTTATGCATACAGAACTGGGGTACAGGCCAGAGGTGCAGGGGATAAGAAGATTCACCAGAGACAGAATGGGAGCAGAACAGGTAGATTAACAAAGTACACTCCTGAGGGGAGCAGTGGGTGAGACAGGAGAGGTTTGCCATGCCATGTGAGGCCTAGGATCAAATTCATGCTAAAGTAACTAAGGCTAGCTTCACAGTGCTGTGTTTTAACCCCTTGTGCCACCAGGGAGGATCCATAATAGTCTCTTTCATTTATGTTGTCTAGTTCTATTAAATTGATGTTTATTATACATTATGGCAATTATGCCACTTTTCCTGGCTTCAGTGATTTTTCTTCCTTTCTAAAGAGTACAGCTTCTCCTTTTTCCCATTAGAAGGTCTTAGCCTTTTTTGACCAGGGACACCTTTGATAATGTAATGAATGCTATGGACTGGACTGAGAGCTGAATTTAATTTTCCTTTTCAGGGAATTTACAGACACCTGAAACCACATCTTGAATCTTTAAGATAAGTGCTTAGATGCCATCTGAGAGAAGTAGGGTTAGAGATCTTGGAGCTTTTAGAAAGACATTAAAAGACACAAAGAAAATGAATTAACCACAACTAAAAACTGTGCTCTGATTCCAGAAATCCCACTGATTAGCCATTTAAGTTACTCTGGGAAGCAGCAGTTTTGAAGGCAGGTAGAATAACTAAGTTATAAGTACAGGCTAAGAAAATAGGGCAGCCCCCCATGTAAGCTGGCCAAGGGGCTGGCCAGGTACCAGGAGGACATGCTTCTGCCATCTGAAGAAGATCAAATCATTCCCCTCCACTCCCAGCTAGTCTCCTTGTCAGAAAAACAACCAAGTGACCAAAAATGTACTCTGTCCAGCTCCTGAACCTGACTTCTAATTCTGAACCTACGCACTAAGGGTCTTGATTTTTATGACTGGGCTGATGGTCATGTTAGTTCCTTATGCTCCCCCACACACACCGTCCCCTTCTTGCACGAGTCAGGTTCCAACTTTGTGATACCTCCCTCAAGTTTTCTACTCTTTTCCTCCATCAGAAAGTATGTGACATCCATTGGCCAGAAACAGTATCTGTACTTAGCTTGTACGGTCAGGCTTCTCTTTGGGTTTTCTTGGTGCTTTTGAACCCTATTCAGTTCATCCTCAACATGCTCTTTGTTGAAAAGGAATAAGATTTGTCATTCCCATTTTCAATGTACAGAAATTGAGGTCAGTAGGACTGTGACACAGATGACAGCCAATTCACAGGTCAGAGCTGATCCACATAGTTGAAAGGTTGAAAGGGACTATCAGTGTTCAATCTTAAAGGAAAGGTTGAAAGGGAATATCAGTGTTCAATCTTAAAGGATGGCCTCGCTCCAGCACTTTATGTATAATGAGGAGAAACACAAAAAGTAAAATAATTACGGTCCCTAAGGGTATATGCCAAACAGCCAGTGAAAGATGAAACTTTCCGTGAAATCACTCGCATTTTGGACAACCATCATGAGCACACCAAATCAAAAAATCCATGGACTGAGTAACATGGTGAAGGCTAAAGATAGCCAAAGAGGATGAAAACACTAACCTGGTGTTTCCAAGTTGTACCCAAGATTCTAGGCATTCTGTGGACGCTTAGAAAGTCTCAGAGGAGAATTTGCTTTAGTCATATTTTGACATTTCTCCTTACTGAGTTGGGCTTGCACATTGGGAGTTAAACGTGGTTATA